ATTCGAACCATAAGGCATTATGCGACTAGCTGCAATATTCGACCGCCACCTCGACGCCATTCAGCGCGACTTCGAGATTAACCGCGTCACGCATGCCGACCAAACTATGACCAACCCTGGCGGTGTCGACATCCACACCATGATGAAGGATGTGCAGTCGATGAAGGTGAAACGATATAAGAGCAGCGCAAGAGAGAATTCGTGCTGATTTTCGACGGCTGCTCAGTCCACTTGGATCGCGAATCTGCTGCTGCGAGAGGCGGTCTTCTGTCACGGCGCCGAGAGTGAAGCTGTCCTGCGGGTCAATTCGTTTTTCAAGACCCGAGTGGTGTACAACCCTCTTCATCCGGATGCTATCAAATAGGCTGCACACCCTCACCAACCTCAAGTCTAGTCTCCTACCAACGTAACGTAAGGGCGGATACCGCACAAATCCAGCGAATATACTTCATCGCAACTGTAGACCGTATGGCAAAGCCCATAATCTTTGCTTCTTCACGTCGGTAAACATGACCAAAGACATCAAATACCTACCTCACCTCATTCACGGCCGATTGGCTTTGCTCTATCTGTCTTCTGCCCAGCCTTCATTGGACTACAAGACGTCTGTGTATATGTACAGTACATAAACAGCCCGGCACCCCCCATCCAGCCCTTGCTACCGCCCGAGTGCCAGCAGACCAAGCCAAGCGATGCGGTACACATCTACCTCCCACCTACGTCCCCCAAAACTCCTCCTTCTCCTCGCTTGCACAATAGGCGAGCAAGCAAAGCAACATAAACAGCGCTTTTTGTGATCCACCCGCCTTAGTCGTACGCCATCAACAACCCCATCCCATTCCCATCCCAAATCATCAAGCATGCTTTTCAACCACTCCTTCGCCCTCTGGAAATTTCGACCAGTACCTCAGGCTGTGGAAAACGCAAGCAGCGCCACCCACTTCAGAGTCTAGACCCGCCGCACAAGCCTGGTTCACGTCTCACGCTAAATCATCCATATCCCACTCCCCACTCATCTCAGCAACCGGATGACTCGCAGCAAATCCCCCATAACACCCATAGCAGTCACCTCCGCTCCAGCTCCCGCTCCCTGGATGATGAGGGGGTTACTGCCGTAGCGTTTCGTGTAGAAATTTATGATGTTGTCGCTGCCTTTCAATGCCGCGATCGGATGCGACTTTTCAAAACTTTCCAACCCAACCTTCACCTCCTTGCTACCAACGTCGATTGATCCCACGAAGCGTATCACCTTCCCCTCCTTCGCCGCAGCACCTTTCACCTCATCCATCCTCCCATCATACTCATGCAACTTCTCCATAAACTCGTCGGCCGAGGCACAGCTCTCCAACTCCTTGGGTATCAAACTCTGCACAGGGAAGCTTGTCGGGCTCTCGATCTCGAGGCCGGTGAGACGGGCAAGTATCGTAAGTTTCCGCGCAACATCCAATCCATTCAAATCATCCCTAGGATCCGGCTCCGTATACCCCAACTCCTTCGCCTTCCCCACCTCCGCCGAAAAACTCCCCCCTCCTCCCGCAACAGGATTAAATGAATTAAACAGAAAGCTCATCGTCCCGCTGAAAACACCCTCGATCCTCGTAACCTCATCCCCCGTCTCGATCAATTCCGTCAGTGTAGACAGCACAGGTAATCCTGCCCCCACAGTGGATTCGTGGAAGATAAAACCATTGCCTTTCTCCCTCTCTCCCGCGTTGGGCCCATTGGCTGCTGTCTCAAATATAGCCGTCCAGTCGGAGAAAGAGGAGGAAAAGGCCTTCTTATTCGGCGTAACAATACTGATCCCCTTCTTCAACACCCCCGGATAAGCTCCCGCGATCTGGGGATCAGAGGTGCAATCTACCAACACTACGTGTCCTGGCGCTGTGGCTAGGTGGACGCATGTTTCTTCGAAACCTAGTAATTTCCCTTTACCTTCACCATTGCTTTTATCCTCTAGTTGTTGCACCGCGGTTTTGATGTCCAGGCCCCGCCACGACGAATCCAGGATCTGGGCGGTGGAGCGACGGATCAGGACGAGGCGGATGTCGAGTTTGGATTTGAGGCGGGATTGGAGGAGGGCGAGTTGGAGTAGGAAGGCTTGGCCGACGCCGCCTACGCCGATGAGGGCTAGGGAGAGGGGTTTTTGGGGGGGCATTGTGGGGGCTCGTGTTGGGTTGTGTTGTGGTGATGGTGTTTATTGGGCAAGAAAGTGAGAGGAAGGAGCGATGGCGGGGGTTTTATTTCGAGGTGGGGTATTTAAGGTTAAAGTTTCATGCAGGGACACTCTCGCTTCACTTTACGTGCCTTCCCCATCTCGTTCTTGCTCGTCGTTCCATCCACTTCACTAACATCAACATGGCAGCTAAGGACACAGGCGGCCTCTACGGCCTCGAGAAAAAGCGGAATCTGAGCAACGGCAAACCTATCTCCTCCTCCACCTCCCTCGCCTTCTCCAGTCAACTCAGCTCACTCATCAATAACGCTTCTTCCTCCTCTACGACCGGTACCAACAAATTGTCAAAACCCAATAACCTCAAGCGCAAGAAAGCAGTTGACCTCTTCACCTCTCACAACCGCGGGACGGCTAAACGGGCGAAACGCGACCATGCCCGAGATGACGACGGTGGTGTAGGTGTGGTAGAGCAAAAACATAGTACAACTACCGAGGCGTTGGAGGAAGGGGTATGGGCAAGGAGTCGCAGGAAAATGGAAGCTAAGGCTAGATTGTATGCGGCGATGAAGAGGGGTGATGTTGAGGATACTGATGAGAGATATGCGGTGGATTTTGACAAGAAATGGGCTGAGCGGTCTACTCAGCACGATGAAGAGGTTGATGACTCTGGCATGTCCTCCGATGACGGTGGTGAGGGTGCAGGAGGGCAGGTGGAGTATACCGATGAGTTTGGGAGGACGAGGAAGGGTACAGCTGCGGAGGCTGCGCGAGCGAAACGGGCGATGGAAGCTGGACATGATGTCGAGGGTGATCGCTTCACAGCCCGGCCTTTGGCGCCTGCCAATGTGATTTATGGGGATACTATTCAGCACCATGCTTTTGACCCGGACTCCTTGCCTATAGCGGGGAAGATGGACGCCCTGGCCCGCAAACGGGACACGAGTCTCACGCCCCCGCCTGAAGAGCATTTTGATGGCGGGAAGGAGATTAGGACGAAGGGGACGGGGTTTATGCAATTCAGCGGTGATGCGAATGAACGAGCTAAGCAAATGGAGGCGTTGGCTGCTGAGCGAGAAGAGACGGAGAGGAGGCGCAAAGAGCGAGAAGCCAAAGTGGGTGAGAGAAAGTCGAAGCTGGATGCGAGGAGGAAGGAGATTCAGGAGAGGCGGGGGAAGAGGAAGGCTGACGCGTTTTTGGACGAGCTGGGGACGGAGATGGGGAGTAAGGATGAGGTTCATGGCGGAGCGGGTGGTGAGAAGGCGGTGCAGGATCTCGGGACTACGGCGCCGGGGGGAGGGCTTTGAGGAAGAGGGGAGAGCTCTGTTGTGTATGAATTTTGACGAGATGATGATACGTTGAAATGCTATAAAGTAACGAACAATAAAGCCTTGGATGCGAAAACACAATTCACAAGAGTAATGTCCTTTGGCACACAGTGATAATCTTTATTGGATCCTGGAACGAGGACTAGATTACGGCGAACGATGGCCAGAAAGAATGGATTTGGACGCAACCGGGCTCGAAGATCGTAGTTTCCAGACAGGATCCGCTGGGAGTTAACATCGACAGAAGAGATCCAGTCGCCTTCCTCGTAGACTGCAGTGTGCATGGGCGGGATGTATATCTCAGTGTACTCCATGTTGAGTGTTGTCTCAGCGGTGATGCCGTGCTTGATGAGGAAATCGTCTAGCAATGTTCCTAGAAGCAATGGTTGCACGTGTTAGCAGTGTAGAACAGTCGCAAGGGGTTGGCCCGTCTCGCTTGACTTCAACCAAGACAACAAGCTGTGACCGTTTGTCGTAGCTCGTTGGCACACGGGATCCTCGCCGTCCGGGAGATCGGCCTAGAGGTGGGCAAGCTGGAGGTCAGACCACTCCTACCGGCGGACGATGTGCTGGATGAGGACTAGGATGAAGAGCCGCAGACCAGCACCAGACTCCCAGGGCCGGCAGAGCGCAAAGAGACACCGAGGGCGATGCTGTGGCGTACGAGCGAGGTCGACGAAGTAGAGAAGGTGGTGGAGATCGCGGGGACGGCGATGCGTAATTGACACAGCGGTGGACACTTTACACGACAGCGTAAGTTTCAAAGTCCGCCAGAGATGAGCTATCAATTGCCTTGAAGTTCATGGACGAAGCTATGCTATGCTCAGACTGGGTCGTCTAGGAACGGAAGAACGCTCTTTGTCGGACTCTTCCCACGGCTGGTAGAGCGCAACGGGAGGGTGAGGCCGACGAGGTGAGAAGGTGATGGAGATCGCTCGCAGGGGACGGAGATGTGTAACGGGTACATGATCCGACAATTCCTCAGCTGTCTAGATCCGCGCAGCTGGCTTCGCCTTTTTCGTCTTGTGGGCACGGCGCTTCTTCTTGGGGGTGCTAACATCTATCCCAACCTCATCCACCGCGAAACCCGATTACGCTTCCGACTCTTGTTTACGCCTCGAGCCCTTCTTTGCCTTGGCCCTCGACTTAGGCATCTCCTTCGACTTCGAGCTCGTAGCGTCCTGCTCCTCTTCGATCACCGACTCCGACTCTGAACCTGCCGTGACTTTTCCCTTTTGTTGTGGCCTTCCTCTTGCCCTTGTTCTACTTGTCCGGCAACGACTGCTCCATCACGTCGTCTGAATCGTCCACCTCGCGCGACTCCCTCTCGGAGCTGAAAGGTCTGTGAAGGCATGTTCGATGATGGGGACGACACCATGCCCAGCTCGACTGTAGTAGCTCCTAGGGTCCTTATTCACGACGGCGACTTGAACCGAATCCACAACCAAAAGGAGCTCCTCATAGATATTTGATACATGCACACCACTGATATGAAAAGATAACGGCCGCAACCGGACTCGAACCAGCATCACTATGCCAGTAGCCTTTCAGCAGCACATGCATAGTATCTTACCAATTGGACCATACGACCGCTGATATTACCTTTCCATATTTCACATGATGATATCGAAAGAGATCAGCAGGCCGTTGTTAAGCCGATTGTCGCGCCTGGGTGGCAAGCGCTCCGTGGTGTCCCACCAGAGGAAGGAGCAAGCAAAAACCACGTCCTGAAGTCGCTAGGATTTACTGTGCGAGTGAGATCGCGGACATGCAAAACGAATCACTGCAGCAGAATGTGGCGAGTACACACATATGTTACGACCTGAGTTCACGAGACTTACAGATAACCCAACAACATATCAACGATTGACTTTCACTACAGCATGTACCTCGAATTGGGAAGGACAACAACGCCATGAAGGCCCAACCAGGCAGCACTGCGGGTACTGATACTGGTGGATCATATCGGTATCGTCAACTTTGTCTAATGCCACTCAACACACGTAGAAAAGGTACACCAGCAAAACGAAAGACCAAGCTGCTCACGAATCTGCACAGAAGTGAATCTCGAATCGACACAGAGCCGAGGATCCGGAGATGATACTCCTCCACCAGACATCGGTGCTCTACAAGTTCACAAAAGAGAGGTCGTCTCCTGATCTGCTCCACTCGCTGCCCTACGTTGCGCTGCAGTGGCACTCTTGAATCAGCGGCCCATCGCAGACTGCGAACAAAGCAAAAGAATTCGATCTAGGCGCGACTGGACTCGAACCAGCATCACTGTGCGAAGCGAGAGATGGATCACAAGCGAATGAATCCATCGCACAGCATCCTACCATTAGACTACGCGCCCCGATGATCATATTCTGTGTGCGCTTACCAGCCATTATATACAGCGAGGGGTACCAGCCGCTGTGAAGCCGACTTGCACGTGGATGGTAAGCACTGCTTGGTGTTGCGGGCGGAGGAGGGAGAGGTAAGCCTGCGGCTTTTGACTTCCAACTCTAGAGCAGTTGTCGTCCACACTCGCCCACTCAAAAATCACCTATACCACATCCTCATCAACCACAGCGCCCGGGACAACCACGGCACACAACATTCAGTGTATATATTGTGTAAGTTCAAGAGCTGCTTTCAGGGAACAAGATGCTCTGTCTGCGGACACCCATCGCCTGCCGTCCCCTGCTCCCACAAGGATGCGGGGATCAGTTCCCTTTTGCTTTTGTCTTTTGCCTGGCCGATAGAGATCATCGCTTGGACGTCGCATTTGAGGCTGTTCGTGGCAACCTCTCTTCGTTGCTGGTAATGTGGGTAATTCGATATTTGAAGAACGGCGGAATTATGGGTTCATTTCATTCTCTATGACAAAAGCTGAGGTTGGCTGAAGAGGCGATCGAGTCAATCTTCTGGGCCATATCAGAGGGTTAAATTGTGGCCGAGTGGTGCATGCTGGCGAAAGTGATGTATCCGATGAACGTGAGGTATCTGGTAGCATTTATGTATCATCTGAAGCAGTGAGGCTCGATTTGTGGGTGGCAACAACAAGGAGGTGGCGGCAGGTAAAAGGTGATGACTCTCGAGTAGTCCTGCAAGTACGAACTGGTGCTCCTGGAAACTGCGAACTTCATGATGTCGATCCCTGGCTTCAAGGCCATCTGCAAGCAGCATAGCTTTGGAGGTCGAGAACTCGCTCGTCACACACACTGCTTAGTCTTTGACTGGCAAGCAATATGGTAGGCGTTATGGCCTCGTGTACTATTGCCATAGTGTTTCCTCAATGCCTGGACAGGGTCCGTCGCTCTTGGCTGAATCCGTTTGCTTCTGGCGGGAGACTCGCTCCCAAAAGGTGTCAAGCGCTTGGAGCAATGCAATGCTCCCAGGGTCTGTAAAGTGGATGGATGACGGAATGTATTCAGGATAGTGTGAACCTCGTTGTACAAGCTGTCCAGGTTGAACCGTTGAGCAGATTCCAACGCCTCGAAAACCAAGCTGTAAAGCTCGCTGTACTCGCAAGAGTTGGGTATCACAATCGACGTAACTTCTACCACCCGTTCTTACAACCACTTCCCAACAATCGGTATCTGCTGATACATTTGATCGTACATCCTAGCAATATATCCTGGAGCCAGTCCTCCTCTTCCAATTACACCAAACCCACCAGCCATCCACAGCCCCGTCACGGCAGCAGAAATTGCGTTGATGATGTACCACCGCCTCTTCTTCGACAGCTCTCTTTCGCCTCCTTGCACTGTGACCTGATCCGGTGTGAGGCTCAACCACTTCGCCCAACCCCATGTGATATGCCATACGCCCACACCGATCAACGCCGTGAAGCCTGCATAGCTGACTACTGGGTGCTTCGCAAAGGCGTGCGCGACGTAGCTAAGGTTTACATTCGACTGACCACCCGGGAACTGCTGTGGTATAGCGCGGTTGATGAAGACGTGGCCAGCGAGCAGAGGTACTAGTGGATATCCCAACTTGCTAATACCAGACACTTTCGGCCAGAAGTCACCACTGAAGAACGATTTCCTGCGGCCACTCTCTCCGTACCGTTTCGCATTGAGGTTCCGCCGTACAATGCGCAATGCTATACCTGATATAACGTGCGCATATAGCGGTATTATGATGAGCAATGGTTCGGCGGGTATGCCTTGGTAGTAGGGCCGTGTGAGGAGGACATATCGTTCGCTTTCGCCCACGCTTCGAGTGATGAGTGGTATTATGGACGTGTTGACGATGTGGGCTGCGCCGTATGCGGTGAAGACATAGCTCGAGTATTTCTGTATTCGCGTGAGGTACCAGATCGGCGAGTGCTGTGAGAGGCCGAGTGTGCTGCTTCGTATGGGTTGTGCTTGGGGTTCGCTGTTGTTTTGGTTGCCGAAGTAGTCCTCCTTGTTGCCCAGTGGCGTCTCTTCTACTGGCGATGGTTCAAGCTCCTGGAGAGCGCCGTCGCGATCGTAGTCGGCCATCTTGGTGTCGTGGATGGTGTTGATAGAAGGAGAACGAGGTGCATGATTTTATGCACGATTGTAGTAAGCTGAATCCGATTGGCTGGCGTAGCTGCTAGCACTTGCGCTAGCGTGAGTGAACTTCACAAGCACATGGAAGTGACAACGAACATCAATGCCATCCAGTTCTTCGGTTGATCGGAGGGACGCGGAGTATCATCCTACGCGGAGCTCGCTATGAGGTGAGTGTGTCGCTCTCTTCTACCCACCCACTCTACCCGGATCGGCGCACGGGAACCTTGAAGACTAGCATGGCACCAGTAAGTACTCATCGTCTGAACATGACTTACAAGTCACTAAGCTAAAACGTCAACAGCGAGGTCAAGCGCTGCCGCAGGCGGCAACGGAGTCTGCTCGAGAGGCTCGGAAGTCGTTCTTCTGTACGTACCTCCTTGCAAATCGCGAGATATACTTTGGCTAACAGGGTGATATAGGCGAGCTATGTCAAAAGGGCTATGCGCGCATGAACGACTTCGAAGCGCATGAGGGCTCGTATGATCACCAGCATCGCAAGGTATGTACATCTGATCATAGCCATATTCCGACACATCCTAACACTTGTTGTAGCGCCTGAAGGAGATGAAGCAGTTAACCAAAGACCCGAACGCTGCAAGCAAGGCCAGAGAAGCCGAACGCAAAGCAAACGAAGAGGCTGGTCTCAAGTCCATCAACCTGTCCGGTGCGGCCGCCGGCTCGACAACCAAAAAGAAGCCTGTCTTCAAAAGCACACTTCAGCCGCACAACGCAGCCGTAGTCAACCAAACTCCAGCGCCGAGCGCAGCATCGAGAGATGTCGTTATGGCTGATGCTGGCCATGATGACTGGATGAAGGAGTACAATGAAGATCCCGCGCAGATGCATGCGAATGGGTGGGCGCAGGACCAATATGACCCTCGATTCCCTGCAGACTGCCCGAAATGTACAGGACCATGCGATGGACATGGCGAATATGATCCACGAGAGTCCTACGCGGCGTACATGAGACGCACGATGCCGGAAATCGATGGGTGGGAGTCGCAGTTGATGGCAAGCCTATCGGCATGATCCGAGCTGGCGTAAACATAGCTTTCAAAACATCACTTGCACCTCTTCACGCATTGCTAACATACCAGGATACTAACCTGCCGTTGTCGTTGCCATTGCCACTGTTACTGCTTGCTGTTGTCGCAGCAGCCTCTCACTAATAGTGATCCCACAGAGCACGACGAAAGCGACGGCACGAGCACGAAGCCGATTTGGCGACACGGAGATAGCATCACTTCGCGTCAGGCTCTCGGCACCAAACCCTGGTATGTTGTGAGACTCAGGCCGACGGCACCGGCGCGAGACCATTTGGCACTTTGGGGATAGCATCGCTGACAAGTGACACTCTCCGTGTTGTTTAGACTTTATATACATACCAAGCCGACGGCACAGGCACGAGGCGCATTTGGCGTCACCGGGATCGCAGCAATGGGCATCACGAAATTCTTCTCGCGCATGGAAGCAGCTGGCTACACCAGAATCGTGGACAACATCGGGTGGCGCGGAGACGATGTTCACACCTTCGCAGTCATTGACGGGCCTTCTTTCGCGTACCACATATTCCGAGCCTGCAACAAGAGCATCGACGAGCAGTCCGAGGATGTCATCGGCTCATCAGTGTCGTACACAGATTGCGCTGCGGCCACAGTGACCTTCCTCGAGACACTGGAGGACCATGGCATCATCATAGACAGTGTCTTCTTTGACGGAGCTTTACCTGCGTGGAAGAGACAGACAAGACGAGAGCGCCTCCAGAAGTTCGCTCGCAGCCTGGACACTTACAGGAAGCAACAAGACAAGCAGACAAAATCACAGGTGGCAAGCGTGGAACCTCTTCAATCTGGACTCGTGCCTCCTTTCCTGGTGCAGGCAGTTCAAGAGGCAATACTCGGCAGTCGCTTCAAGGATTTGGTCTACTCCGTACCTGGCGAAGCCGATGAATACTGTGTCACGGCCGCAAAGAAAGCCAACCTGTCCCACGTAGACAAGAAAGTCGCAATCTTCACCAGCGACAGCGATTTGGCGGTGTACGATTCGGGTAGGCAAACTCATATCA